CTCTGAACTGGTTTGGGTTGGGCGTCTGTAACAACTGAGTTGGCTTTAGGCAATTTAGCAAGCCATGAGGCTGCTGTGAGGTCAATGCGATAAAGATTCTCAGCTCGCTTTGGTGTAGCTGGAACCAGGGCTGGAGAGACACCTTCTGTCTTCAAAACTTCTAGAAGGTAAGGCAAGGTGGGCAATATGGTCGACATGGGTCGTTGCTGTTCGGATGAGGTGAAACATGGGTCATCCACAGCCTTAGTGGGCTGGGGAATAGCCAGATTCAATGACCTGGAAAGCCTAATGAGTAAGGCAGAGAAGTTCTTGAACTCTTCTGCTTGTAGAGGGTCTGGGTCTGGTTCAGATTGAAGAGGAGGAGTGGGAGGCGAATCACTAGAGGATTCGATGTCCACAGCCTCTACATCAGGGTGAGGATCCTGCTGGGGGGTGGTAGGATCCAGGGGTGCTGCCCCCTGGAGTTGAGGGGCAGGAGGTTCGGGAGGGGGCCTGGAAACAGTGGCAGAAGGGGGGGGGTAAGGATGAGGATAGGGGTGAGGAGGAGGAGTATAATCCTTCGGGTATTCTCCCTGGTAGAAAGGGTAGTATGGAAAAGGAGGTGGGGGATAGAGAGGAAAGGGATAGTCATAAGGATAATGGAAGCGCGGATCGCGCCCGCGCGGGCGCTTGGAGGAAGGGCTGCGGGACCGGAATGGGAGGAGAGGATCGGGACCAATTGCCTGGACTGGCGGCTCGGCCGGAATGTACCATGAACGATACCTCGATAAGGTGGATAGAGGGCCGGTATCGGGGAAGGAGGGTGTTCCCTGGGAGGCTGAGCCGGCTGGAGGAAGGAGGGAGAAGCGGGGAGGTTAGGGTCGAGCTGGGAGTTGAGAAGCTCGATCGGGAGGAGTTCCGGGGGCTCCTGAAGCTCCAGGAATTGAGGAGCGGTTTGCTCCATAGGCGAGAGCTCAAGCAGCTGGGCCGGCGGTACCGGCGGGGGAGGACTCAGGGGCTGTGCGCCAGAGAGTTGCCGTCCCTTTTTCTTGTTTTGTTTTTCCTTAGATTTGCTCTTATGAGCAGTTTGTTTGGAGGCCCTGGGTCTTTTCGGCGGCGGTTCTTCCCCAAGGGGAGGAGTCGAAGCCGCAGAGCCTTCTTCAAGCTGCATGGAGGAGGGGCCCGGCCGCTCTCCGGAGAGAGGGGAGGGTGAGGGTTGCTGAGAGAGACTTGGCGCGGCTTGGCGAGTCTCCTCAGGGGCCAGTGCTTGCTCATATAAGAGCGCTTTCAGGCGGGAGTCCCTGCTCTTTTGAGCCCGAGATGTAAAGGCTCTGCAGATCTCACAGGCAGAGCGATTATGGGACTCCCCAAGGCACAAAAGACACTTGGTGTGTCTATCGGCTTCTGGGAGGTTAGCTCCGCAAGCCGAACATTTTTTAAAAGATAAGGTCGACATGCTAGCCTGTCCGTGGTCGGTCCGTTGTCGGGGAAGGAGAAGGAAGAATAGTCGAGTGCAGTCCGAGTCAATATATAAAGTCAGGTAAGTAAGAAGAGGAAAGTCCGAAATGCTTCTGCTGTCGCGCGGAAAGAAGAACTGACGCGGAACTCCGCCTACTGCCTTTTATACCATTTGGGAGGGTGGGCGGGACTCCCGCCTAAACTCTTTTTAGCTAGAATGTTCCGAAATCACTGCGCATGCGCACAGAAACCCATTAGTACGCATTTCACAGACTACACGAGGAAGAATTCTTTTTACCCCAAAAAGCATCCAATTTGCGCCTGACACAATAAAACCTGAGATATAATTGATCTTCACATTTCAGATTTAATTTTTCATGCAGTGTACACATAATGCAAACCAAACTAAGGATGAGAAAGCTTTGGATATAGTCAAACCCCAAAGCAAATCATATTGATTTGGAGAGATTGATGAGCTATCCAAATGGAAGTGGGGTTTTTAATCAAAATCCACCCAAATTACCAGCCTGCAAAAATAGATGCACGGTAATAAGATTCCTCAGAAGCACCAACTATCTCTTCAACTGTCTTCCAGTTCTATAAAAAGATTAGAGGGTATCAATAGTTCCCTCAAAATATTAAATACAAAATCAAGTATGTCAGTATCTCTAGAAATAAGATATTTGAGGACCTTTATCCCAAAGTCAGCGTGGACTAAACTCAAATTAACTACTTTAAAACTGTGATTTGAGTATTTTCAGGTATAAAAGTATATACTGGCAAAATATGTAGAGTTGTTTCTAAAGGCCCAAGCCTAACAAACACGAGCTGCCAATAAAAATACATAATTAAAAATATATATAAAGTTAGTACTAACTTTTGTGTATAATCAGCTTCTCTAACTTCCTTTTGGCGGCAGCTGTTTCCACAATCTTCTGATCAATGGTATTTGCAGTTACAAAACGATAGACAACCACCGGCTTCGTCTGGCCAATTCTATGACATCGATCTTGAGCCTGAAGATCACATTGCGGATTCTACGGAAAGAGAAGAAATGGTACCCAATAACTATAATAATATTGTGGATTGCAGATATATTTTATAGATTTTTTTCTAGACTTTTCAAGTTGATTTTGGTTTTCCCCCTGATTTTGGAAGACCTGTATTTTCATGTAAGGCACACAAAGACAGAAATGAACATGAAATTCATTGATAGCCTGAATGTAATTTTATACAGTATTTTAAACAACTGTGCATGAAAAGGTCTGCATATACTGAACCATCAGAAAGCAAAAGTGTCACTCTCTCAGACACTTATGTCAACAATTTTAGATTTTTGAGTATTTTGGAGTTCTAGAAAAGGGACGCCCAACCTGTATTACAGAGAAGGCTACTAATTCCCTTCTCGATGCTGAGTAATTTAGAGCAAAGTGTTCTTGCAGCTCAGAGAACCCTTTGCATCAAGGCCTGAAGAGAAGTCCACAGAAAAGGAAATCTTAGAACATAAAGTGTTATAACTCATTCCAAGTCAGGGTTGGGGTATACAAAACATATTTATTTAGTGGAAAAACAGTAACTATTCCTATAAACTGGGACCATTTCAGATAGGGAGGAAATATTTTTTTTGTTCATATAGCAGGTCATCATGCTTGAAGAAATCGTACCAGATTTCAGGAATGAGTTCTTGAGCACTGCTAGGACTACTGAAGAATGAAGCATTTTGCATGTTGAGCTTAGCACATAGCCCTTTAGGATCAGAACACACATAATTTAAAGCATCTTAATATGTAAAACCTACCCAGTCACTGTCATAAATGATTACTGTATCTGCTGCAGTCAGATTAATGCCAAGACCTCCAGCCCGTGTGCTCAGAAGAAATATAAAAACTTCTGGATCTTTGTTAAATTTACTCATCTGTAAAAATACAGAAGACATGTAGAATAAAAGGATGATCTATAATAGAAAATGTAATTGTCACTTAATTGATATTGCCATTGCATTTCAAAGGATGTATTCTACCAGATAATCAGTTGTATTTACTGACTACTCTGTTAAGCATCATAGAAGCACAGAACTTGTGGTTTCAAGAATTTTTGGACTTCAACTTTCATCAGTTCCAGCAAGTATGACAAATGGTGTTTGTAATCCAAAAGATCTGAAAGGTATCACAATTAAAAAAAGAAGATGCCACTGATCTTTGTTTTAATGGCAACAGATTAACATCGGTTTCCTCCTCAGGAACTCTGCCACTGTCTTCTAGTTTATCCTTCTCCATTGCCTCCTTATGTAAAAGCAGTGGAGGATCTGTCTGTATCCTCTCTCCTGGGATTAATAATTAAAACTAATTCCAATCATAGTTCTCCCCACACCCAAAATTAGTAGAAGACTAAAAGGTAAAGACCATAAGCCCTGAAAGGCCACTTCTTCACCAGTCCAGAAAGCAATCAATGTGTTAAAATAAATTTTAAAAAGGTAAGTGATGACAAAACTTCCAGAGGCTCAGAGAATGTGACTCAAGGTCAAAAGAGTGTGACTTGCTTAAGGCAACAATGTAAAAAATATTTCAAATTGAATTCTCTGCATCCTTCTCTGAGGCTGAGAGTGCGACTCAAAGCCAAGAGTGACTTACTCTAGAAAACCATTTATTAATAACTAGCTTATGTACCCAGTGGTGTTGCTTGGGTCTGCATTTTCTAATGCTATGTCTTAGAAATACTCATTAACTCAGTATCCAGCAGTACCTTAAGATTTATTGTGGATCAATAAATCTTAAGGTACCATCTATTAATACAGTACACAATAATGAATAGCAATGCACTGTATTTTACATGTTATTATATGACACCGAAACCTATTCTAAAAGTTTTGGTTTTAGGCCTCTTCCTGGGGTAACTTGGGGCACTGATTGAGAAAACTGCATCGGATAAACCACATCAGCTCTAGTTTTTTAGACATGGTTATCATGGTATTCTATCGGGGAGCAGATGGCAAGTGTTAGATAGCATATGTTATGTATCTCAAAAGCTAGATCTCATAGAGGAAAACATTTTTTGGAATCAGTAGGTGAAATGTACCAGAAACCGGACTAACCACTGAGGAATCAAAATGTGTGTTGAATTTGTAAGATTTTAAATGAATGTTTTAATTGTAATTTTATTGCTATTGTTTGTGTGGCATCTAATGAGTGCCTACTGTAAACTGCTCGGAGTCCCTCTTTGGGGGTGAGAAGGGTGGCATATAAATGTCCAAAATAAATAATAATAAAATAACCCTATTGTATGGATAGGGGAAAGAGGGGATACAGAGGGGAGATCTGAGCGAGTGATTTCCTGATTAATAGCTCAGCCTAAGTCATTTTGCTGCCATGCCTCTCTTGTTAGGCTTCTCTTGGTATCTGTAGCTATGTTCCTTTTCCTATCCCAGTCTTTCACTGTAGTAGATGAAGAATCTCAGAAGAACCATGCAAGGCAAGCTTAAGCCTCAAAGAAAAGAGTCACATACATTTTCATCTCTCTCTGTATAGGACATGCTTCCATCCAAGCGACTGAACTGGTAATTCCTCAGATAGCAGTAGTCCATCAAAATATCCAACATCTGTGTCATTTGTGAGAATAGCAGCACCTGCATAGAGCAAATGTTATCAGTAATCTTATGTGAAATGTTCCAAGCAATTTCTGAGACCATCAAAAAGAATACCTTGTGTCCTCGCTTTTTCAGCTCTGGCAGCATGCGATCCAAGAGTAGAAATTTGCCTGAACTGTTCACTAGATCTTCATCAACCTTGATGTGAAAAAAAGCATATCATTTTGGACATGAATTAAATCCAATTAAAATCAATTGGCGCATCACACTGGCTTTAACTGTCCATATGATAATTTTTAAAGCATTTTGTTAAGCCATCAACATCAAGACATCAACAGCCAACTAGTTACAATTCAATACATCTAGACTTATAAAGTATGTCCTTTTGGTTGGCATGCAAGGCTTGCTGCACGGGGAAGGTTTCTCATCAGTTCACAGAGATTGAACAAAAAAAAATCCCTTAGTCCTCACAGTGCTATATATTGTATATTTTAAAAGACATTAGAAAAAATATGTAAGCTATACTGAGGTACACAAAACTATAGCATTATGAGAATACAGAAAGAGTAGGACAATTTATCAGCTCGCAAAGTAAGTCCAAAAGGATTATTTGTGAGTTACAGGACACCACGTATATTAGACCCTCAAGCTTCCTGTTTCAAGGGGAAAAAGCCAAATGAAGTGGTGAATACTTTGCCAAAACATGATTGAGTTTAAGAGGATTCTGGGGGGAAAAGTCTTCCCTGGATATGGGAGCAGGAAGTACAGGCAATTTCAAATATTCAATTTTTGGGTAAAATGCTGCAGTGTGTAGTAATCCCCCAGCTCCAGGAAATTCTAAACAGGATGTATTATCAACATCAACTTGAATGTGGCCTCAGACCTAGCTATGGGAGAGAGGCAGTTTGGGTCACTATGATGAATGATCTGGAACTGGACAGGGAACGTGGATCTCTTTTGGTTTTACTGGACCTCTTAGTAACTTTTGACACCATCAACCATGTTATTTTTCTAGGCTGGAACAGGACTTGGAGGGCCAGTTTTACTATGATTCCTTTTATTCCTGAAGGGAAGAACTCAGAAGGAGTTCTGAGGGAGATAGCTTGTTTTCTGATGCTCTGATATGAAAACATGGAGCAATTGATTCAAACTACAGGAAAACAGATTTCACTTAAAATGAGGAAAAACTTCCTGGTAGTAAGAATTGTTTAACAGTGGAATACACTGTCTCAGAGCAGTGGTTCTCAACCTGTGGGTCCCCAAATGTTTTGGCTTACAACTCCCAGAAATCCCACGCAATTTACCCGCTGTTAGGATGTCTAGGAGTTGAAGGCCAAAACATCTGGGGACCCACAGGTTGAGAACCACTGGGCTAGCTGGATATCTGTTGGGAGTACTTTGCATAGTAGGGCATTGGACTGGATGGTCCCTGCGTTCTCTTTCAAATTTATGGTTCTATGAATCCTTGGCCACTGGCATATGCAGCACCTTATCCCAAATGCATTCAAATAGATTCATGAAGCTGTTGGGGGGAATCACCTGGAGTTTTGGAATCCAGTGCCTCAGTAAGTAAATGACATCCAACTCTATTATACTTTCTCTGTCAAGCTATCTCTGTTCAAAAAAGGTCTGTCATCTATATAAATAAAAATGTAATGTTCATTTGTGAGATTAACATAACTCAAAAAACCACTGAGAATTGACACCAAATTTGGACACAATACACTTATCAGGCCAAGAGTGACCATCACTCATAAAACACTGAAAAACAGTGGAAGAGACTTATAAAGCCATAAAATAAAATAAAAATACATTACAATGCATGCGCAAAACCCATATATATATATACACACACACACATACACGGACTGGGGCACAGCAACACGTGGCAGGGGATGGCTAGTCTGCAATAAAATGGAGGGGGGAAATGGAACTTTAATTCTGACAAGACAATAGTGCTTTTAACCAAGAGTACAGAAATTTAGTCTGTGCTAGATTCTGTTCATTTCATTTCTTGATTTCATTTCTTGAATTTATATGCTGCCTGTCTCTTAAAAGTCTGATCCAAGGCAGCTAGCAATAAATTAAAAATGGATAAACCTAATATTAAATTACAAAAGCGAACCAAAAGTAATAATTTTGCTAAAATATTACTCTCACAGTTAAAATATAATGTAAAAACATTGTAAAAAGATACAAAAAGTCTCAAAACATTGAAACAACACACCAAATGTATATGTACGCTACAACACCATAATTAAAATTTACCATTCAAATGCCTACCTAAATAAACAAAAAGTCCACAAGAGGGCTAATAAGACTTTCTATAGAAGGTATTTCCATAATTTGTGTAAAAAGCAAACTATAGAGTTTTGTTTTTATTTAAATACCATGTTTCAACCAATTGTTTCTAAGTTTATTTGCATAAAACTATAAATCAAAATACCCTTTGCATCTATGCATGTGTTAACACTATTTTGACAGTCTATAATCTCCATTAATACTCAGAAGAATTAACACATATTTAAATGCTCTTGTCAAAGTCCATTTCTAGTGTCTCTGTCCACTCTTCATCTACTGTGCTCCATTACCGTCATGGAGAATTGTTCTGTTCAGGTAAAATGGGTTACTGGCCAATCACTGCTCTGTTTAGAAAAAGCGGTTTACTGGCTTTCATACAAGAGGGGGGAAAACCTTAAACAATTTTGATGAACACCAAAATTGTATTAGGCAAATCTTAATGAACTCAATGAGAATCAGACCCAGGTAAATAAGCAAAAATCTGCAAGTTAAAGTAATTACCTTAAACTGCTGTGTTCCAGGTTCCAGTGGATATTCAATAAGGTATGGGTGGTTACAACACTTCCTTAATAGCATCATAATATTCTGCAACTTTATGTTGACTTCTGAATCCAAAGGCATATTCATTTCAATCACTGGTCTTGCGAATGACAGGAGAGTTTATAAGCATGAAAGAATAGAAATTACTTTTAAGCACATTTAGGACCTTGATGTAGGAAAGTTTCATATGATAAAGAATGAAGACTATCTTCAGACATATAGTCCAGAAATAAAGCTAGAATTATGCAAAGCAAATCCCTCCTGCAAATATAATGCAAGTCTCTACTTTACAAGTAGGAGCCCCGGGTGGCGCAATGAGTTAAACTTTTGTGCGAGCAGGATTGCTGACCAAAAGGTCGGTCGTTTGAATCCAGGGAGTGGGATGAGTTCCTATCTGTCAGCTCCAGCTTCCCATGAGGGGACATGAGAGACGCCTCACACAGGATGGTAAAACATCCCGTGGGCAATGTCCTTGCAGACGGCCAATTCTCTGACACCAGAAGCAACTTGCAGTTTCTCAAGTAGCATCTGACACAAACAAACAAACATTGCAGTGTTTATGACACATGCTGTGTATGTGGAGGAAGGACACTGGACATATAAGCAAGTCATCCCAAGTAGGACAGACATGAAAGTGTTCTTGCCTCAATGCCACTATCATGACCTTTGTGAATACCTGAGTGTTGGAGGGGCATATTTTTCTGTGTAAGATGGTAGCATGACTCTACTTCTCTATTCTCATCCTTGATTAATAATCAGATTTAAAAGTGATAAACTGGAACAGGATGAAAAATAATCAGGAAACAAAAAAGTGAAGCCAAGACATAATAAACCATCAACAAGATGCCAGCGAAAGACACCAAATAAGATGAAAATGATTTCACAGATGGGCATGAAGCACTAGAACTGTTGATGACACAGATAATCTTTTTCCTGAAGAAGATGAAATTACAATCGAAACAGTCTACTGTGTGAAATATTAAACCATTTATCGTCTTTTACAAAATTAATTTTAAATACTAATAATTCAATCACTTTGCACATGTGACACACTGCAACTAGATTAGGCATTCTTAGATAAATACCTCTCTTTTTCAACTTCGTATTGCATATTATTGATCAGTTTTTCCAGTTCATCAGGAGAATCGTTTTCACCAAGTTCACGATAACTAACGAGTTTTCGACTCCGGCGTTTGGGTCGCCCTGTGCAGCTCAACTCAATAGCTTCTTCCTGTGGAAATCAATAGGAGCTATAAATGCTAACCTCTTCCACAAAACACCAAGGGATCATTGAAGCAAACAACCTTGTTTCTAACTCTGTTGCCAAAATATATTGGATTTTCAGGTATTACATACTACAAATAGAGCATTCTCATTGGAAAGTTTCTTTTTTATAATTTAAGCATGAATAAAGTTGATCTAAGGAGAAGGAGCAAAATAACTTTCATACTTTGCATAACTAAATATTCATACAATTACTGAAGTATCATGGACACGTATTAATTACATTCAGAAAAAAAAATCCCATCAGCTAACGGACTAGTTCAATGTCTAAATGAAGGCTGCTTTGGCCTCCAGAGCAAGTACCTGATCATTTTGTAGGAGTTTGCGAATTGTTTTGTTTACAATAGCACTGTAGAAGGTTTCCTGTTTCTTCACAAGAGGTGCATAGACCAACATTTCGCGCTTGGGTGGAATTTCTAAAGCTACATCTGACTTCAGTCTTCTTAATAAGAAAGGGGTCAAAATCTGCAATTTAAATAATCAGAATTTAGAAACTATTATTTATAACTCATTTAAAGGACAGAAAACTACTCACCTCAAAGGAAAAATGGTCACAATATTTCAGGGCTGAGTGCATATTCTTGTTGACTGTACAGTTACTTGTGTTTCTTAGGCACACACACACACACACATATCTATATAAATAAAAATGTAATGTTCGTTTGTGGGATTAACAGAACTCAAAAACCACTGGACGAATTGACACCAAATTTGGACACAAGACACCCAACAACCCAATGTATATTCTTCACTCAAAAAAATTGATTTTGTCATTTGGGATTTGTAGTTGCTGGGATTTATAGTTCACCTACAATCAAAGAGCATTCTGAACCCCACCAACGATGGAATTGAACCAAACTTGGCACACACACACACTTGATCTTAGCCAAAAGGCCGAGAAGCGAACTTAGCACACAGTTCTCCCATGACCAACAGAAAATATTGGAAGAGTTTGGTGGGCAGTGTCCTTTGGTTTTGGAGTTCTAGTGTGTGTGTGTATATATATCACTGAATAATTAGACATTTTCTTTATAAGGCAATGGATTTCCAATTTTGATTTTTTTAACAAGATCTCTCATAAGTATAGAATTACACAGTTAGTAAATTCCACTAACTCATTCATCATAGAAACACACAAAACAAGGGTAGTTGAAAGTTATTTGCACATGAGCAACGCAATATTTTTGTTTTAATGTTTGTATATTTGTATAGTTTAAATGGTTATGCTGATGCTTTGATGTTGAGTCCCCTTTGGCAGAGATAAAGCAGGGCATGAATAAAATAATAAAAATAATAACAAGAATATTAATAATAAGAAAAATAAAAGCTGACACAATATGAGGATTTAAAGATTGAATTGCAAAGACTCAGGCACAAACTAGTAAAGGTGGTCCCAGTGGTGATCAGCACAATGGGTGCAGTGCCTAAAGACCTTGACCTGCACTTAAACACAATTGGTGCTGACAATATTTTAGTTAGGAGATGCATTGGATGGTTATTGATGTGTTAATACTGTGTATTGTGTTTTATGGTTTTAAATTGTATACTGCTGATTGTTGTATTTTGTTGTAAACCGCATTGAGTCGCCATTTAGGCTGAGAAATAGCGGTATACAAGTACAGTAAATAAATAAATAAATAAAGATTACCATCTGCCAGCTGCAAACAGCCACCCTACTGGAATCTGCACGCATTATTCGCCGATACATCACACAGTCCTAGACACTTGGGAAGTGTCTGACTTAATCCAATACAACAGCCAGCAGAGTGATCTTGTTTGCTGCAGACTTATCTTGTTGTGTCTTAAATAATAATAATAATAATAATAATAATCCTTCCTGTTTCAACACACACATTATTTTCCAATTTTGGAGAACCAGAACCACTAGTTCAATATTGGTGTCCAGAGGTTTTTCAGATTTGGGGTTTTGGAATATCTCATATACACAGTGAACGAGAGATGAAAGGGAGTTGTCACATGTCCAGTACCGATTGGGTTTTTCCTCAAGGAGCCCTGATGGGGTAAACAGAAAAGGGCAATCTACACAAGTCTCCTGCAAAAAACGGCCCCGTCTGTCAGCACACCCTTTGTGCAACGCATCTGGGAAGGGAGGGGGAAATCCTCTCCCAGCCTCCATGAGTCTTTTTCATTTTCTCTGAGCAGGATACTGGTAGAGATCAATGGGGTTGCTCTGTGCTTAACCTCATAGCTGTTCCCAGGGCATCCACCCTGCCACTGTCCACCATTCACCAAGTGAAAGGTGAGTGCAGCAGCTTCTGGGACACCTGATTTTAATGGGGGCATTGTTTAATCCTCCCCCACCTTTCTCTTTTCCCTGCTAGGTCACCTTGAGGAAAAAGCGAGTGGTAGATGTTTATTAGCCCCCTTTCTCCAAAGACAGAAGTGTTTTGGGTTTCAGAGTGCTTTGGATTTCAGAATATGAGAGATTCAACCCATACCTCCACAGTTTTTTTTTACAAATGTATTTTTCATTATAGGTATGCACAGGCAAGAGAGGTATTTGCAGGAACTGGTGCACACATATAAAATAATACATTTATAGGGAATTGAGACAAATCCATATATGGTTTTATTATTTTATCTCAGCTTTCATCTCTGTTTATTTAAATATACAAATATTTAATACTGTTTAACTCTCTCATACTTAACACTGTCTCCTAATTCTACTTTTAAAAACTGTATTTCAATGCCTATGTTTTATTAATATTGATTATTGGCAGAAATAAAATATTATTTCAAAACAAATCATTCATATATGAGGAATAATGCAGCATACTAAAATGCTTCAAAAACAGGTAGACTAACCAGGGCAAACATGAAAACACTAATAAGCAAATAAAACATTAGACCTGGTGCAGCATGTGCAAGACGTTCTGCTCTTTTTCCTTTGCAATGATATCTTCAGCAATTCCAGACATACTAGCAATATCAAACCAGGATTCAAAGCTGGAAGAAATAACAAAATGAGAAAGTGATTTTTAGAATAATGATATACTGATTCATTCCTGTGACTAAGAAAGTTAAGTTCTACAAACAATATTGATTATTCCACTTTACATGCATTTGTTTCTGACTGATTTATTTTAGCAAGGTATGGCCAAAGAAGTTTGCAAGACACTAAAAGTCAGGTCAATGTATTACTGTAAAAGTCACATTATCTTCTCTTTATCCCATCTTTAAAGCTTCCAAAATTGCATATGCACTTACACGTCTATTTTCAGAGTTATAAAATCAAGAGGTTTTCTCAAGGAACTCAAATTCTTAGGGTAAAAGACTTCCACACTCTAAATAAAATGGTAGGCATATGCATTCAGGGCTCATAGAAAAGTATACATGCTCCCAACATGTATTCGCATTTGAATGTCCCCAACCATCTTTTTACTGCACTGCTGACCTGAAGGAAGGAACTATCGTGCTAATTCATTTCTGTTTCACATACAAAGGGAGTTCTTTTTTGCAGGAACAAGCAGCTCAGAAGAGATAAATAATGGAGAAACTAAAGAAAAGTTAAGAACAAATAATACAATTGATACTAAGGGGAAAACTGTAATAATTCTCATAGAGAAGAGGGAGAGGAAGACAAAAACATGTCAACATAGCCCTGCCTGCCAAAGAGAGTGGGAGAAACAACTCATGCCAGGTTTTCACACTGAAGGATGATTTATACAATTTCAGATGCTCTAGTTTTATCTAGGAATGCAGCACACATGTTAACATTAACAAAATTCACCAAAGTTTGAAATCTATGCTATTTTAAAGACACAGCACATGACACAAAACAAGTGTATCACTGCCTACCTTTTTAAATCATCAAACACATCAGGAAGCAGGAAATGAAGCAGAGACCAAAGCTCAGACAAGTTGTTTTGCAACGGAGTTCCAGTTAATAAAAGTTTGTTGTCAGCATTAAACTTTTTTAATTCCTGAACAAGACGACAATTCATATTCTTTATCCTATGTCCTTCATCCACTATTAAGTATTTCCAGGAGAAGTTCTAGAAAAAAGAAGTCTGCAGTTATTTCAAAAGCGAAAGAAAGACGATGGAGAAACAAAACATTGTTCTGGAATTTTTAAACGCAGGTACAGCTTTCTTGTATGTGATTTTGGCCAGATTACTGAAAATGCGGATATAAATAGTCATCTCAGGGTGAAATAATATATCCCAAACATAAGCATGTCTCCAATTCACATCTTTAACTAGATAAATATCATGGACAAAAAAGCAACTAATTATTTCAGACATATATTCTCTGTGAATCACATTTTGGGAGATAACTGATGCAAGATGATGAACCCCAACCACCAAACCCCGAGAATGGTAACAAAGGATCCTCTCCTTCCTTCGCCGACATACACACTGCCATTTCCCAGGGTGGCAATATCTTGGAAATGTTTTCAAGATATTACCATCCTTGGGAAATGGCAACATGGGGGATAGAATCCATCGCCCCCAACATTCAACTTCTGAGGGTGGGGCTGCCTTGGGAATGTTCTCTGAGCTTGCCATTTTCAGGAGGAGGGGGCATGGATATATGTATGTAAGTATTCACATTTCACATTCCCATAAATGTAGGGGGGCAGCTGTATACTAATTTTGTGTGTGTGTGTGTCAGGAGAAACTGCGTTGCTTCTGGTGTGAGAGAATTGGCCGTCTGCAAGGATGTTGCCCAGCGGATGCCTGGACATTTTTGATGTTTTACCATCCTTGTGAGAGGCTTCTCCCATGTCCCCACATGGGGAACTAGAGCTGACAGAGGGAGCTCATCCATGCTCTCCCTGGATTTAAACCTCCAATGTATACTAATGAAATAATGCATTTACACACCTGAAGAATATTTCTGTCCCTCATGGCAATTTCAAAAGACGTAATGACCACAGGGTGAACATTTAAGGAATTTTCTCTCCTTCGAATTTTAGGTATCAATTGACGTCGTTCTTTCTGGGCACCGTGGTAGAGCATTATAGGAATCTATTTTTTAAAGAAAATTAAATGTGATACAAAACAGATGCAGACTTAACACAGCATCACATCAATCATTCATTTAATCAATTTTCCCATGAATCATTTAATTCAATCAATCAACAAAACTAAAATACATCTAGTGAATAAAACTCAAAATCTTCTTAAAATTTAAAAACCATAAAACTAATATTACAGTAATAGTGAAAATCAGTGTGGCTATGACACACTAATGTCACATATAGAATACTATTCAAACCATATAGACAACACTAAACATGTACCTTGATTGTTGTGTGCTTATACATAATGCAAGAAAAGGGACACAGTACAGCTATATATGCAAAACCATAAAATAGTAGCAGATCTTGCCATTTTGATTATATGTTATCTATGGTATAATGGTCTGGGCATTGGACTATGACTCCAGAAATTGAGGATTACACAGAAGATTCATAGACTGCTATGATTCTATTAATTCCCACTCAGCCATTGGATGATCTTGGGCAAGTGACACACTCAGTCCCAGGGGAAGGTATTGGTAAATCTCTTCAGATCAAATACTGTGAAGAGAACTCTGTAATAGGCTTGCCTTATTGTCACAAGTCAGAAACTCCTTGAAGACACACAACAGCAAATGTTCTACATGTTTAGGATCATATATATGCGCCCCTGCTGGTGCAGTGCATTAAAGCACGGAGCTCCTGAATTTCCAGACCGAAAGGTCAGCGGTTCGAATCCGGAAAGCTCCCACAGGCCCAGATTCTGCCAACATAGCAGTTTGAAAACATGCAAATGTGAGTAGATCAATAGGTACCGCTTCTGCGGGAAGGTAACGGCGCTCCATGTAGTCATGCTGGACACATGACCTTGGAGGTGTCTATGGACAACGCCGATTCTTCAGCTTAGAAATGGAGAAGAGCACCACACTCCAGAGTCAGACACAACTAGACTTTATGTCAGGGTAAACCTTAACCTTATATGGTTTGAACAGTATTCTATACGTTGTATCTATTAAAGTGTTCAATTGTGTCGCCTCATTAGAGCATGGTATTATTTCATTGTATTGTTATTTTAGTAATGAAAGGCCTTTATTTGACTATTTTATTCCAGTAGGAGGCAGAGATGATCTGTAAGAATACCTGTATCCCAAGAGGGAAATTAAGGGTTCCATTATTTTGTTAAGCACAAAATAGAACACAATTCTGACATTTCTGAAAGTGCCCTGCCACTTAAAACAGAGAGGAACCTGCCATCATCAGGAGGAAACCTTCACACATCAAAATCAATATTATCATTTTAATATATTTATTGCTTTAAAAGTTATATTACCTCAGGAGTAAACCTCTTGAATTCTGCTATCCAGTTAGGAAGAGTAGAGAGGGGTCCACATACCAGAAATGGTCCAACCATTCCTTTTTCTACCATCAAAGCTATTGTCGCAATACATTGGACTGTTTTTCCTAAGCCCATTTCATCAGCCAAAATACCATTAATACCATTCTCCCAAAGCATCTGCATATATAGGAGAAAAAATATTATTTATCAATTGCTTTTAGTGGACACTATGCCTTTCAAAGCCATTCACAATTTTAAATTCAGTCAAAACAGAATCTACTATCTAAAAAACACATTATTTATAGCAAGCCAAGCAGAGTGGAGATTCAACAGAGGCAATAAAATACTGAAATAATAGTACAACAGATTTAAAAATCAATAGGAATTGAGTCAATTTGGTTTCTCTCTATAATTGGGGCACCACAAGACTACTAAAAATTGTCACAAGTCGATTAACTTATATACTTTTGAGATATAAAACAGGGGCTTTAATAAAAATTGTAGACTTTGGCCAGACTTAAACAACAGCAGATAGCTTATCAGCTATTCTGGCTCCAAGTTGTAAATGTACTTCTTTATGTAAAAATAATCAAGCACATCCATCTCATTAGGAAGCAAACTTGTTTTCATCTTTAATAAATGGTAAAATTTTATGTATACACAAATTGTTTTAAAATAAATTTCTTTATGATTTATTATCAGTGAATGGTCAATTTGCACACCTATTTTATATACCTGTATGACTGGGGATGCATAAAAAATTTCTCGGGCAAAAAGGGAAAAACCCTGTTTTGAAGCACAATACAGACAACAAGACTGGAAGTACTAGAAAGATGACTGAAAAGATGTACACCATCAATATCAATACTACGATTAAAATGCACACACTAAAGAGATGCATACCCGAAGCCATTCCATGCCTTCAACCTGGTACCACCTCATTACTCCTCCAGTGAAGAGCTTTGGTTGCTGAAAAGGTACTGGCTGTTGATTAAATTTTCGTACTGGGTCAAAAAAATGCTTGGCATTGTTACGCACTGTCTGTGTCAGTCTGTCCTTAATAATGCTATTCGAGTCCCCATTATTCTGGAGTCCTTCTGCACAGAGTTTTGCAGATGAGCTTTCAATCTACAGGAAGAAGTTTATAGGTAATTATTTCACAAGCACATGTGGGAAGACTTAAATGCTATCATGCAGTTAGGTCTGAGCAAAATAATTCCTAATTTTTTTTTTAGAAAGATACTAGAGAAAACTGCTTTGAATCTAAATGGTATCTATAGCAGAGTAGAGTGCAGCACAGCCAGCAGTATATACAGTCTTATGGCAGAAAACATGACATAAAATATACAGAATGCTTTGATAAGGTTCAAAATATATTTTAGCAACTTAATTTAATTACAGCTGATACTTCCCTGGTGGAGCAAGTACAGTGTGTGAGATTTTTAAATTTTATTTTGTGTCAAAAGCACTGCATAAATAAATAAGTTTAAAATTGATAAAATAATGGGAGCCATTTTGCCAGGTTGTCTTTTGATCTCCCAACACCACTTCTGAGCCTGTTCAGGGACTTCCATGTTGTCCATTCTTGGTTTGCCCTTGGAGGAAGACCCTTTATATTCAGTATTCATATTTCAAATTAAATATGCTTTAATAATCCTTAAAATATTGAAAATGTTTAAAGCTAACTTTCACGATAGAGTTCAAGGAAATTATAGAAACAGAAATAAGAGCATTATGTAGAATTTGATGCAAAAACAGCAGGAAATGATATTAAATGATTGTTTCCCAAATAATTAATACTTACAAACAGGACAGAAACAAAGCTGACGTACCTTGCTTTCTTCATCTTTACTTTTTTTGGCTGCTAACAAAATCTCCTACAAAAGAATAAAAATGGGCAAAAATGACCTGTTTAGAATTTGAAATGAACTTAGAAATATTAAATCTCAGAAACTTAAAGAAGCATTTCCACAAGCTCAATATAATATTTATTTATTTATTTGCTATACTTGTATACCGCCGTTTCTCAGCCTAGCCGGCGACTCAACGCGGTTTACAACAACTTATAACAAACAACAGTATACAGTTTAAAAGCATAAAAACACGATCCACAATACATATATCAATAAACAATCCAATTCATCTCTTGACTAAAATCGCGATCCAGTTTCGTCGTCCAAATTGCCAGTCCTTCAATCATTACACTTATTGCACTGAGTTAACCGAACGCCTGCTCGAACATCCAGGTTTTTAGTCTTTTCCGGAATACCATCAATGAGGGGGCTGATCTTACCTCCATGGGAAGGGCGTTCCAAAGCCGCGGGGCCACCACAGAAAAGGCCCTGTCTCTCGTCCCGCCGCACCTGTGAAGCAGGCGGGATAGAGAGCAGGGCCCCCCAGAAGATCTTAGGGTCCTGGTGGGCTGATAGGCCGAGATACGTTCGGATAGGTAAGTTGGGCCAGAACCGTTTAGGGCTTTAAAGGCCAACGCCAGCACTTTGAACTGAGCCCGGTAGCAGATCGGCAGCCAGTGGAGTTGGTGCAGCAGAGGAGTTGTATGCTCCCTGCGCTCCGCTCCAGTTAGTATCATGGCTGCCGAGCGTTGGACTAATTGGAGCTTCCGGGCTGTCTTCAAAGGCAACCCCACGTAGAGAGCGTTGCAGTAGTCTAAACGGGATGTAACCAGAGCGTGGACTACCGTGGCCAAAGGCTCCTTACT